CACACACACACACACCCCCCACTCTCTTAGATCTTGTAATCAGGGTGAAAGAGGAGATATGAGGGTAAGGAAGCTTAAGATGCCTATTTTTGAGGGAGTGGTTGCCCATGCTGGATTTACTAGGTGGAGAGGTATTTTGTCGTTAATGGGTTGACAGGGGAGAGACTGACAACAACTAACTTGTGTTTGGAGGGGAAATCTTAACATGATACCAGTGGAGAGATATGAGATGACCTATACGGAGCTGAAGGGAACTAGTATGGGAGGAGACTTCAATGAGTAGTTTTTCTCTTTGATGCAAGAAGTTTCAATGGTGGAGTACTGTGAGAGGTTTGAGTACCTGACTAGCTGATTGGACTAGCTTTCTGAGACTATACTAGAGGGAATCTTCATGAAGGGGCTCAAACTAGAGATCGAGGTGGTAGTTAGAGTGAGATGACGTTTCGTGATTTGAGAGAGGCTATTGAGCTAGCCTAGTTAGTGGAGGATCAAAAGCACTTGGAGGGTGGTGTGTGTGTGTGTGTTGGGGGGGGGGGAGGCAACATTTTAGTAGACTTGTACCAGATGACTACCATCTTTTTAGCACCTAAGGGGCCAACACCGAGTAGCCTTCGAGAGACCCCAAAGAGGAAGTCTATAGGAGGGGGAATCAGAGGAAACTTCAAGAAGCCCATTGAGAAGGAGCTGCAAGTGAAAAAGGCGAAGGCACTATACTCCTAATTTGATGAGAGGTAAACACCGCGGCATAAGTGTAAGGACCGAAAACTCTAGGTTCTCACTATCTATGATGACGAGGAACCTGAGGCGGGGGTGAGGGCATTGATAGAGGAAAAGGAATAGTTTCATCTAGACATGACAGATGTCTTCTTGAACTTAGTTGTGAGATTCACTCTAATTCACATCATGAAAGTGAAATGAGAAATAATAGACAGGGAGGTGGTGGTGTTGATAGAAAGTGGGGTTACCCACAATTTTATCTCCAATCAGGTCGGTAGACCAATTGATGGTGAAACTGGTGGACACAATTTTCCATGGAGTGATGATGGGCCCTGGGAAAGTGGAGGGGTAGAGGAGTGTGCAGGGGAGTAGTTCTAACCATATAGGGGGTCCAGGTGAGGGATGATTTCCTTTTATTGGAGTGAGGGAGCACTGATATCATCGTGCGGATGAAATGACTAATGACTTTGGGGGATACCAAGGTTAATTGGGGAGCACTGATGATGAAGCTAGTGGTGGAGGGAATAAGGGTGGTGATCAGTGGAGATGTAGGGTTATCCAAAGCCATGTTGTCTCTTAAAACTATGGTGATGATCCTATAAAGGTTGGAGGAGGATTTTTGGTGGAGCTGTAGAGCTTAGAGGGGATCATATTGGAGGGGGGAGACATTTCGCCTTCGGTACAATGCTTATCCAACAATTCGATGATGTATCTCGACCACAATAAGGATTGCCACCATAGAGGGAGCAGGAGCACACTATCACCTAGAGGGAGGAGGTGCCACCAATAAGCGTCGGGCCTTACGGTTGCGTTGAGTTTCAAAAGGATGAAACTGAGAAGTTGATCTAGGAGATGTTGTAGGCAATAATAATCAGGCCGAGCATGTGTCCATTTTATAGCCCATTCTTACTTATCAAGAAGAAGGATGGGACATGGAGATTTTATGTGGATTATCAGACCCTAAATAGGGAGACTATGTTTGATAAGTTTTTTTATTTTAGTAATAGATGAGTTGCTGGACAAATTCTGTGGAGTGGTGTTGTTCACAAAGATGGATATGAAGTTGAGGTACCATCAGAATAAGATGAGAGATAAGGATGTCCCGAAGATGGCTTTTAGGACACATGAGGGACACTACGAGTTCTTATTGATGCCCTTTGGCCTCACCAATGCCCCCGCTACATTTCAGTTTCTCATAAAGAGGTTATTCCGACTATACCTCAAAAAATTTGTACTGGTTTTCTTTGATGACATCTTGGTGTACAACAGGTTGCATTTGGAACACTTAAGGGTGGTATTAGAGGTGTTATAAAAGCATCACCTGAGGACCAACCTGAAGAAGTGTTGTTTTGCACAGATTATTGTGGAGTACTTAAGGCACATGGTATCTCAGGAAGGGGTGACTGTAATCAGGCCATGATTGAGACAATGCTAAAATGACCTCTACATAGGAATCTAAGAGAGCTTAGGGGTTTCCTATGGTTGACTTGGTACTACAGGAGGTTTGTGAGGGAATACAACACCACAACATGGTCATTGATAGAACAACTGAAAAAGGATATCTTCATGTGGGGAAAGGCAGCTACTCAGAGCTTTGAGAGGTTGAAGAAGGTCATGACCACAGTACCGATTCTGGTCCTACTAGATTTCAGCCAGACTTTCATGGTAGTGACTAATACATTAGGGTATGGATTGTGGATAATGCTCATGCAGAATCATAAACCCATAACTTACTTTAGCTAAGTGTTGACAACCAGAGCTAAGCTGAAGTTAGTATATGAAAGGGAGTTGATGACATTGTGTTAGCTATTCAGAAGTGACAGCCATACTTTTTGGGCCGACATTTTATTTTTAGGTCATAATATAGGAGCTTGAGGCACTTATTAGAGTAAAGGATGGTGACCAAGAAGCATCAGAGGTGGTTGTCAAAGCTTTTGGGGTATGATTTTGAGATCCAATATAGGTCAGAGTTAGAGAACATGACCGTTGATGCATTGTCCAGATGCGTGGGGGAGCTCCATTAGCCATTTTGATATCGCTGATGTTGGTTTGGGGGCTATTAAAGAGGAGATTATACTGGGCGAGGAGCTGAGGAGCATTAGGGAGGATCTACTGAGGGATGAGAGTAGCCAACATGTTTATTCCTTAGAGGGGGGAGAGATTGCTTTACTAGGGAGGGTTTGTGTTTTCATGGACCTCGGTCCATATTACATACCTGTTTCGGGGGTTCCATGGGAGCGCCATTGTGGGCATTCTGGTGTGCAAAAGACATATAGGAGATTGACAGTCGAGTTGTATTGAAAGGGGATGCACAAGAATATTGAGGAGATGGTGGCTAGATCTTAGGTATGCTAGAGTAACAAATAAATTGCCATTGCTCTAGGGGGATTACTTCAACCCCTAGCTCTTCTAGACAGAGTGCGGGATGTCACCATGGATTTATAGATGGTTTATCCTGATCTGTAGGGTTTATAGTGATTTTGGTGGTAGTTGACAGATTGAGCAAGTATGCTCATTTCATTCCCCTAGACATCCTTACACAGCAGAGACAATGACAACATTATTCAGTAGAGAGGTGGTATGATTGCATGCGATACCACAATATATAGTGTTTGACCGAGATAAGATGTTCCTTAGTCATTTTTGGAGGGAGCTGTTCACGCTGCATGGGATAGTACTGAAGAGGAGCACCACTTATCACCCTAGATAGACGGGCAGACGGAGGTGTTAAACAGGAACATGCAGACGTACCTGCGATGTTTTGCTTCAGAGACGCATCAGTTGTGGGAAAGTGGCTAGCATGGGCAGATTACTAGTACAACACTTCATATCATTTAACTTGGCAGATGACACCTTTCAAAGTGTTATACAAAAATGACCCACCTCACATGGAGCACTTTTGGCAGAGTAGCATACCAATTTCTTCAATTGAGCAGTACTTGGAGAAGAGGGATAGAGTGTTGGATGAATTAAACCGACACTTGTTGAGGGCTCAACAGATCATGAAGAAGCAAGTGGATGTGCATATGAAGGACATCCAATTTAAGATAGGGGATATGGTATACTTGAAGCTTTGTCCCTACAAACAAAGGACAATAGATAACATAAGGAATGAGAGGCTGGCTCAGAGGTACTTTGGCCGTTATGAGATTTTGGAGTGGATTGGAGCATTGGCTTATCAATTGAGGTTACCTATGATTGCTACAATACACCCAATGTTCCACATGTCAGTGTTGAGGATAACTATTGTTGATCATGCATCTAGTTTAGAGTTTCTCGTGACACTGACAGAGGATTTGTAGGTGGTTTTGGAACAACTAGAGCTGAAAGGGGTAGATATAGAGAAGTAGGGATCAAGGAAGTTTTTATAAAATGGAAGAACCTACCTAACTATGATGGCACATGGGAGCTGTACGAGAGAGTGAAACATTGATTCCCATCTTTTCACCTTGAGGACAATGTGGGTCTTTATGAGGGGGGTATTATTAGACTAGTCCAGGAGGGACCAATCTTGAAAGGACCGACCCTTATTTACTCTAGGCGGAAGCCTAGTCTGCCCCAACAACCATCCAACCCCCCTTGGGTTGGAGTCCATGGCTTAATGCAAAGAGAGGAGGGGGTCGGTAGGAGGGAATTTTAAATTGGGAGGGCTATTTTGGTATTTTTTCATTTTATTATATGATTTAAGTAGTTTGGTTTAGTATAGGGTTAGGGGTATGCCTTATTTTGCTGAATTTCGATTGTTCTTAGGGTGATTGGGCTCTACCTAGTGGCTAGGGATTTGGGAGAGTCGTATCTTCTTCTCCAATTGAAGATTCATTGTATCTTTCTTTGTTTTGGTTATGTATATCATCAATTAAAAAGGTTTTTCTCTGGTTATTCTTCATAATTCTTCCAGTGATTTGCATTTGGGATTGCTATAATTAAAATTCAGCCAAAGATTCTCGATTTCTACGAGGACTTCCTATAAGAAGGTCATTTAAATATTGTAAATTCCAAAAAATTGTGGCATTATCTCAAATTTTTTGGCATCTCATTTGACCTTATTGTACAAGCATTTTTTCATTTCCTTTCGTTCTTTTGTATTTCCACCATTTGTAAATTGACATCCAATCCTCTGCCAGGATTTCTATGCTAGTTTTTCCCGTAGCTATTCTATATGGTGACTTGGCGACCTCTATTGATGGTGGATTCCATAGATATTTGTTGTATTTCCTTTATATACTTGTTTATGACGACTCATAGAAGATTTTTCAGAAGCACTCTATATATGGGCCTTATTAAGCCTTACGAATGCCAAAAACTTAATTTGTTTCTGTAAAAAAATTCATATTATGTAGATTAATGCAGGATTGTAGCTGGCTTATTCATTTAGGATTGTAGTCACTTCTCTGTTGTTATATGTTTCTGGACTAGCACGTTTGGTTCCTTCTTCTATGTTGCCGCCTTGTGGTCTTTTTGTGATGCGAGTCCTGGTCCTGCTCACGTGCCATTACCTACTGCTTTGGATTTATCTTGCTGTCGCAATCCATTACTGCTGATTGCGAATTTCTATTTTTAGTGGTTAATTGAAGCCCATTCCCTATTAAATGTTCGACTCTCGCTATTTTGAACGATCTGCCCTCTATGTTTGTGGCTTCAAAGTTGAGTTTCAGATAAAATCAAGTTTGAGGAAAGGGGAAATAAAATAAATCTTGTAGTACTCCATCCTACTCAAAATTCTCTTAGTACGTCAAAGCTTGTGATGGCTGCTCAGTTCGAAATTCTTGTTAATGAGAAATTTAAAACCGTCATAGCTTCAAAATAGGCTCATAAGTTAGTGGGAAAAGATTTCTCATACCAAATTGAGTGCTACAAGAAGTTATATCCAAAGAGTTATTCAGTACCCAGGTTCTTGTGAAGTACTCTTTCTTCTTCTTCTCTCTCTCTCTCTCTCTCTCTCTCTCTCTCTCTCTCTCATTCTCTCTTTTACCCTCTCTATTTCTCTCTGCCTTGCTCTACTTCTCTATCACTCTCTCTTTCCCTCTGGCTTACTCTTTCTCTTTATCTTACCCCTCCCTTGCTCTCACACTCTCTCTAACTCTTTCTTTCTTTCTCTCTCTCTCCACTCCCCAGCGTCCTATCTATTTGGAATAAAATTATGCTGATCTTATGCCGACCATATTTTCTATTCCAGGGATGAGAAGTTTATAAATTGATGATTTAGTCTTGTAAGTAGGCAACTTTAATTCAATATAAGTTCTTCTTTCGCTTTTCACTCTTTTATGTGCATGGCGGATGTGATTTCTTTTAGTGCGATACAAGTGCTATTTGCAAATTCATAGGAGAAGTCATGTCCTCATACTAACATGAGGCTTGGATTTCTTACCTTGGTAAAATTTTTCCTTGATTAGATGTCTTCTAATTGAATTATTAGTGTTCCTGACTTTGTTTAATTTAAGTACAAGTAGGATGCTAATTATGGTGATTAAATTATAATTGTGTTGATTTTGAGTGGTTCAAAGTTTACATTTATTTCCTTGAATTTATTCGGTCTATTTGCATTATTTTACTGGTTTTAATTCTCATGTTTATTGGTTCACATCTAAAAAGGTAAGTATTGGTGTTAGTTGTCTTTGATATGTGAATTTAAGTTCCTTGCTTGATTTATGTACAAAAAATTTAGTTGTACTTCAAGATGTTGTAGTAGTTTCATGTATGGTTAAGTGTATTTCCTTTCTGATGACATTTGATTGAAAGCTTACGCTTTTAAAATTCCTTCATTTCCATAGCTTTAAAACAATTCTTTTTAGAGATTTTGCTATCTGTAGTAATAAGCTCTTTTATCCAAAATTTTGTATGGCTGAAGTTCAAGTTGAATACAGCTTTGTTATCGGCTCTGGTAATTGATAATTTAATTTGTTCTAACTTCAGCTACAGTTGGTACGTTGACGGACCTTGGTTTCCTTTGGTTCAGGGAATTCTATTTGGAATCTTCTCGTGTCATCCAGGTGAAGTTTGTGCGTATTGTTTTTTTTGTCCCATATATGTGTAGACTTTTATCCGTATGATTGATATGTGTGAACTCATTTATGACAACTAATTGTTTGGTAGGATAGTTGACCTACGTTCTCTAATCTTTCTCTTGAAAAAATTCAACACCATCTGATGCTTAGCTCATCTCTGTTGTTCATTGAGTGCATTCTTTTGCTTGCAGCCCTAAAAAAAATAAGTGGGGAGTGATTAATAAGGTTTCTTGAGGGAGATGATAGACATCAATTAAAAGAGTATCTATTACAAGAAAGAAAATGGGAGGCTGTAGAGTGAAGAGGGAAAAGCAAATAGGATTATTGAAGTAGAAACTAGGGAGATGAAAGGATTGTTGGCGAGAATGGATGGAGGGGATGCTGCCCCACGACGGTCTTTAAACATGAACTAATACTACAGATAATATGAAGACGTGTTTAACAACTGGAAGCTTATTAGGCACTCTGATGATGTTTTGCCATCAAAGCAGTTTTTACTTCTCCATTATCATTTGATTGGCTACAGAGTCTGTTATAGTTCTTTTTCGGGCATATAATTAATTTTGATTATTTTTTGTTTAGTTTCCAATTGAATGCTCTCTTCCGTGGATGTTGGTGGATAATGTAATCGAGTCTCAAGATCCAGGTCTCCTTGAAAGCATTCTGATGCCATTTGATATTTACAATGATGCCGCTCAGAATGCACTGACCATGCTCAAACAGCGTTTTCTGTATGATGAAATCGAAGCTGAGGTGCGTAGAAGTCCATTTATTTTATACCCTAACTTCATGTTTTAATCGAAGGCTATGGAAGGCTTTATTTGTTTTATCCTTTGACACATGAAAATGACTTTTCTATGAGGCAGAACTCTACTTGAGGCATCCTTCTTTTAAGCATTAACTTGAATGTTTAGAAGCTATTACGTGCAATGCTTTTTTTTTTTTCCTGGAATGTTCTGCACATATTTTTTTTGTGCTTTGCTCCTATAGCAATGGGTCGCAATCTGATCCATTGCACTTTGTGCATGAGTAAAGTAACATACTATTATTTACTATGATATAGTTTCTTAAAGATAATTAAAAAAATAATAAACACTTTTTATTGTCTTTTATTCAGTCCTCAAATAGTGATAAACCTTTTGATGCGGACATCCGACGGTGGACGATATTCAAAGGAAGAGTCGAAGTTCGACGACCGAGATCACTCCGTTTTATTTTAGTTTATTAATTGTATTTTGATTTAATTTTGAATTTTTATTTTTTACCCTTTTTATTTAAGAGTCTTGTCTTATGTAAGCCCAAGGGGCAAATTTGTCTTTTAGTTTTTTTGAGGACTATATATAGAGGCCCCTTCTCTTGTATTAGGAAGGATGAAATTATAATAAAAATTTGTGTTCTACACTTGTGTTCTTTTGGGAGGACGTTAGTGAGATTTTTATGGGAAGAATTTAGAGTTTTCACTAGCCAAAGGATGGGTCCGGGCTCGTGGCCTGATGTCCTTTGGAGAAGGGCAACATATCACCCATCAGTCTTCAGAAGAGTCCAAGGCTCGCGGTTTTATCTTTTATCTTTTTGTTTCTTTTTTTTTGTTCCTTCTTGTTGTTCCTATTCACCTTCTCCATCCTCTCCCTTCACCCCACCGAAATCCCACACAAATTCCCCACCAACCTGCCGGCTCTATCCCCCTCTCTCTCCCTCCAAAATTTTAATCCCCCTCCTTGAATATCTTCCATAAATGACCCCCCCCTTAATTTGGGAAGACGTAATTTCAAATTTTAATTTAATTTGAATTTGAAAATTCTTTCCTAATTTAAGAAGTATTTTTTAGGAAAGTTTCCTAAATTAAATCCAATTTGAATTTTAAATTAATTGGGATTTAATTAAAACTTTCCATATTCCCTCTCCAATTAATTTTCCTCCATTAATTAATTCTCTAATTGGATATCCCATTATGGGAATTAATTAATTCAAATTTCAAATTTCCCCCACCCCCATACCCCGTTCTACATCAGTTTGGTATCAGAGCATGGTTGTCCAGGATGCGAACTCGACGGAGTCGAGCTCTTTTCCACCCTGGGAGAATGATGCGGACATCCGGTGGTGGATGATATTCAAAGGAAGAGTCGAAGATCGACGACTGAGATCACTTTGTTTTATTTTAGTTTATTAATTGTATTTTGATTTAATTTTACATTTTTCCTTTTTTACCATTTTTATTTAAGAGTTTTGTCTTATGTAAGCCCAAGGGATAAATTTGTTTTTTAGTTTTTTTGAGGCCTATATATGGAGGCCCTTTCTCTTGTATTAGGGAGGATGTAATTATAATAAAAAATTGTGTTCTGCACTTATGTTCTTTTAGGAGGACGTTAGTGAGATTCCTATGGGAAGGATTCAGAGTTTTCACCAGCCGCAGGATGAGTCTTGGCTCGTGGCTTGAAGTCCATTGAAGAAGGGCAACGTATCACCTCTCAGTCTTCGGAAGAGTCCAAGGCTCGCGGTTTTATCTTTTATCTTTTTGTTTCTTTTTTTTGTTCCTTCTTGTTGTTCCTATTCGCCTTCTCCATCCTATCCCTTCACCCCAACAAAATCCCACACAAATTTCCCACCAACCTGCCGGCTCTATCGCCCACTCTCCCCTCCAAAATGCCAATTCCACTCCTTGAATATTGATGTAGGCAAGCTTTGGGCCGATTGTTGTTTCTCGGTTTGGTGATGTTGCTGCTCTCAGGTGGGCCTTGGCTGCTTGGTGTTGAGCTCAAAATTCTTGATTTTACTTGATGTTAGCTCATTAATGATTGAGCTGAAGTTTAGCTCAATAATTGGGGGAATAAATGCACTTCCTAGCTCATTAAATGAAAAAGGTATACTTCTTTTTAGATCATTATTGAGGAGTGGATTTTTGGCCTTCTTCCCCTTTTGCCTTTTCGGTTTCTGGTGGCTGTTGATGTTTCCCTCGTTCTCCCTCTCGGTTTTCCCTTGCTGTCTGGTTTCCCGTGCTTGCTGTCTTGTCTCCTGTGCTGGCTCTTTGGGTCCCTTGTTGGCTGGCTTCCCGTGGCCTGCTGGTGGGTTTTTCTTGGACTGTTTCCCTGTTTTTCTGTGCAGAATTCCTGCTGCTGTTTTGCTGTCTTTTGGCCTTCCATTTGGTGACTTTTGGCCTTTCATTTCCCCAAATTTGATTGGGTTTGGTTGGAGGTGTTTTGGATATTTGTCTATCTTCTTTTGCCTATAAAAAAGAGTTGTTTTGGGATAAAAAAGTTTGTAAAAATGGTATTTTTGGAATAGAAACCTGTGAGTTTGTTGTTTTGAAAAGCTTGCGAGCTTTGTCCAACTTCTCTTCTTCTTCTTTCTAGGAAAGCTTGCGAGCTTCTCCTTCCTTTCGTCTTGGCTTCTAATCCCCTTCTTCTCTACGGAAGTAACCACCCCACATGTATCATTCTTCTCAAAACAAATGAAATGCAAGTTTAGGTTTTTATTTTTATGTTTGTTTATGTGTCATTTGTAAGTCAAAGTTTGTAAGAGTCCTTTATATTATAAAACGTGTCTCTTTTTGGGTATATTTGTGTCTTTCTTTTATCTAGGAAGCATTTACTTTTGCTTGCAAAAATTTGGAGCCCTTCCCAAATTTTTGCTTGCATCAAATATCTTCCATAAATGATCCCCCTTAATTTGGGAAGGCATAATTTCAAATTTCAAATTAATTTGAATTTGAAAATTCTTTCATAATTTAAGAAATCATTTTTAGGAAAGTTTCCTAAATTAAATCCAATTTGAATTTCAAATTAATTTGGATTTAATTAAAACTTTCCATATTCCCTCTTCAATTAATTTTCCTCAATTAATTAATTCTCTAATTAGATATCCCATTATGGGAATTAATTAATTCAAATTTCAAATTTCTCCCACCCCCATACCCCATTCTACATCATTTAATGATGCGGACATCCGACGGTGGACGATATTCAAAGGAGGAGTCGAAGATCGACGGGTGAGATCACCATGTTTTATTTTAGTTTATTTATTATATTTTGATTTAATTTTATATTTTTCTTTTTTTACCTTTAGTTTATTTAAGAGTCTTATCTTATGTAAGCCCAAGGGGCAAATTTGTCTTTTAGTTTTTTTGAGGCCTATATACAGAGGCCCATTCTCTTGTATTAGAGAGAATGAATGAATTATAAGAAAATTCTCGCACATGTGTTCTTTGGAGAGTTGTGAGAGTTTTAGGAGAGAGCTTTGGAGAAATCCCCAGGGAGGGAAATCGGATCACCCACCAACCTTGAAGACGGCCGGGTTTGTGGTTCTTCTTCCTTTACCTTTATTTCGTTCCTTTTCCTTTCCATTCCTCCTTCCCCATTAAGCCACCAACATCCCCATCCAGTCCCCAATCTCCTAGCCGTCGAATTCGCAACCACAATCCACCTTGTCGCCGGCCAACTCCCACCACCAAACCATTCAACCCACAAACCCTAACCAAACCCTTTTCCAAACCGCGGGCCAACCACTTTGCTTTCCCGTGCCTCCTCAATTTCCACTACACCTTACCTAAATTAGCTCTACATAATTTAACTCAAATAATTACAAATTCTAATCTATTTGAATTAAAAATTATTACCTAAAATATAAATCCTATTTTAGGAAAGTTTACAAATCTCTTCCTATTTGAATTTTAATTAAATTGGGATGAGCTATTTCTTCCCAAATTTAATTCCTTAAATCAAGAAGGCCTTAAATGCTTCCATAAACTCCCCCATACCCCTTCTTCAAAATTGGTTCCTAAAGCTCCACTTTCCTTATTTAACTCCATCTATCTTTGGAAGGAGTTTGAATTTTGAAATACTTCAAATTTAAATCTCAAATCCTTCCTAATTCATTAATCCTATTTTTGGAAAGGCCATTAAATAAATCAATTAATCCAAATCTGAACTAATTGAGCAATTAATGTCTTAACTCCAAATACATTGAACCTAGACACTCTTTCTTCTCTCTCTCACCTGGCCGAAATTCCCATGTCCCCACCAATTAAATTTCTTCCATAAGGAAGTTTCTCTCCTTTGGAAAATAATCCCAAATTTCCCCCCTCTCCTTTCACCCTCTCTCCCCAATTTTATTTGGGATTTAATTGAGTTGCCACCTAAGCAATCAAATCTATCCCAAGGCTACCCCTACTGCCGTTCACTAATTCCCCCCACCTTATTTCTTACTTTCTGCATCCAGAGATCTGGAAATCTGAAGCTCTCCCAGTCAAGTTCAGACTTCTGAACAAGTTTTGTGAGCTGTCCAAGGGTTCCGCAGCTTTACAAGCTGCTGTCCATGCCGTTACAACTGCTGTCCAACATTCCATGATTGGATAGTTTGCTGTCCATAATTTTCTAGACATAGAAGTGTGCTGTCCACAGGTTCCTGCAGCCACCAACTGCTGTCCTGCACCCTGGGAGGTCTGAAATTGTTGTTCAAAATCCTCCAGCAGCCTATAACAGCTGCCCAAGGTTTATACAAGCGTTGGAGATTGCTGTCCAGAATTTCCCCAGGTGCCAAAGTTGTTATCCAGCATTCATAACCATCTCCTAGTGCTTTTCCGCTGGTTTTAAAATCAGATTGCTGTCCAAAGACATCGAGAAGAATCAAAGGTTGCTGTCTACTTCCTCTCATGCACATAAACATCACACCGGAGCCTTGTTTGTCGTGTTTATTTGGGTGAACTTTCCTCCTCTTTTATCTTTTAGTCATTCTCAATTGTAGTTATTAATTGACTCATGAAACGTTGTGTTGATTCTTCCTGCTAAAGCCTAGTATTTATTAGGAGTTGTGTGAGGGATCTTGCATACCACTATTCTTATTGTTAAATTAGGGATTTCTTGTTGAAACCCATTTCGTTTGCAATGCCAAGAGTAATTGATTGTTATATGGTTTTTTACTTTTTGCAAGTGACTTGGCCTAAGCTTTTGTTATCGCTCTTGTGTTTTATTTCATTGTCTAAATCAACATCAAGCTTTAGTTAACTTGCTCTTAATCATCAAGCGTGCAAACTCCTAATCTCAATCATATTGGTCATTATGTTCTGCATCATCTGGTATCCGAGCATGGTTGTCTGGGATGCAAACTCGACGGAGTCGAGCTCTTTTCCACCTCGGGAGAATGATGCAGACATCCGACGGTGGACGATATTCAAAGGAAGAGTCAAAGATCGACGGCTAAGATCACTCCGTTTTATTTTAGTTTATTAATTGTATTTTGATTTAATTTTGCAATTTTCCTTTTTTACCCTTTTTATTTAAGAGTTGTCTTATGTAAGCCCAAGGGGAAAATTTGTTTTTTAGTTTTTTTGAAGCCTATATATAGAGGCCCCTTCTCTTGTATTATGGAGGATGGAATTATAATTAAAATTTGTGTTATGCACTTGTGTTCTTTTGGGAGGTCGTTAGTGAGATTCCTATGGGAAGGATTCAGAGTTTTCACTAGCCGCATGATGGGTCCAGGTTCGTGGCTTGAAGTCCCTCGGAGAAGGGCAACGTATCACCCGTCAGTCTTCGAAAGAGTCCAAGGCTCGTGGTTTTATCTTTTATCTTTTTGTTTCTTTTTTTTATTCCTTCTTGTTGTTCCTATTCGCCTTCTCCATCCTCTCCTTTCACCCCTTCGAAATCCCACACAAATTCCCCACCAACTCGCCGGCTCTACCCCCTCTCTCCCTCCAAAATTCCAATCCCACTCCTTGAATATCTTCCATAAATGATCCCCCTTAATTTGGGAAGGCGTAATTTCAAACTTGAAATTAATTTGAATTTGAAAATTATTTCCTAATTTAAAAAGTCTATTTTAGGAAAGTTTCCTAAGTTAAATCCAATTTGAATTTCAAATTAATTGGGATTTAATTAAAACTTTCCATATTCCCTCTCCAATTAATTTTCCTCCATTAATTAATTCTCTAATTGGATATCCCATTATGGGAATTAATTAATTCAAATTTCAAATTTCTCCCACCCCCATACCCCATTCTACATCACCTGCCCTTGCAAATCATTTGCTAAGTTGATGGGAGTAAGTTGATGATATAATGGAATAGGGGATACTTTTTTTCTTGATAATTTTAATTTTGTTCAAATGATGATTCTCTTATTTTCAAGCAGACTATATGACTTTGTTTCAAATGCTTTTATATTTGTATTTTTTTTCTTGAGCTTTTCTCTTGAGAAGCAAGGCCCACTAGATTTTAGTAGGTACATTCTTTCCGACGCTTAAAGGGGCTGCTGATGAATCTTAGTAAGTTAGGAAAAGCTGGAAGCTTTGAAGTTCATAAGATAGTTGAATTTGTTCAATAAGAAAACCTAGGATTATGCGTTCAATTAGGGTTCACTTGGGTTTTTATTTGTTAAAGTTTTTAGCGTGCTGCATGTCAGCATCACCAATTGATGGAGAGGCTGAGCAAAAGAAACACAACGTATAATTAAGAGTGATTCACATATTCTATTTGGATTCTAAGATTGTTCAGTTTTGCCTGACAAGTAATTAAATTTCATTCTTTCATGTTTAATTAATCATTACAAGCAATAATATATATTATCAGAATATTGATTACATGGATAAGTCTAAATTTTAAATTAGAACCTAATCTAATTTCAACAAAATATTTCAAGTGAAGTGAAATCTAATATTATTTAAAAAAGATTTAAAACTTATACTAGATCAACTAAAGTTACATGAAAGTTTGGTTAAAGATTAAACATGGTCAAAAATGGGAATTAAAATGGGCTTGATTCAGTTTTGTTATGGCATGGTTTGGCTCATTTCTAAGTGCTCTATGACTAATTGAGGTTTGCGGACCTACATTATTGCTTGTACTATGCTAACTTTGATGATGTAGATAGGGTGACCCACGGGGTGGTGTAATGTAGACACCCAAGGTGGCTAGGGGTTGGATGGTCGGTGGGAGGCATGGGGGTGGCAGCACCAATGTGTGTGAGGGCTAGAAGAAGACTCCCGGTCGGGTATTGGGCACTAGCATAGAGTGAGGCTTATATCAACTTGCTCATTTCTCACTTAATGTCATGCTTGTAATTTGTCGTTTTCAACCACCTTTGCTAGCGTTGTTTGCGAGAGCTTTTTCTTTTGTAATTTTGCCAACTGAATGCAATATCACGGTCCGTTTCGCATTCAAAGGTTGTTTGGATATGTTTGCGCAACGTCGAGCTAGTAGTTTGCTATTTATGTCGTTTGCTTGAGCCGTGGAGGAAGGGTGTCTTTGATGATTTTGATGTTTTGAATGCACTGGTGTTATTTATTTTGCATGTGGCTCACATTTTGTGTGACTTCAAATAGTGCTGCGGAATTTTGGCTCAAATAATGATCCACTAAGTTAGGATTTTCAATTTTCGTAGTTATTGACTTGCTTCTAGCATGCGGTTACACATTAGATTAACAGAGCGATCCGAAATAATGACAAGAAAATAATAAACAAATATGCGATTAAAGATAATCCACCACTTAACAATTATTACTTTCACCTTAGAGTTTCCCTCTCGATCGTTTGTTGGAAGTAGGCAGGGGCGGAACCAGCTTGGCAAAAAAAATTTTTCTATATAAACAAAAAATTCTCTCTCTTACAAAAAACAATTTTTTTTTTGAGGGGGGGCAATTGCCCCCCCTAATTATAACATGTTTCCGCCCATGGAAGTAGGTTTAGCGGAGGACAAAAGTTAGCAAGCCCAGTGATGCCACTGCAAGACAGAGGATGCCAGCGGTTTTGATCAATGGAGAGTTGGCCGGAGTAGAGACGGCTGGTCGTCCTGCGATCTTCCACGATCTTGTAGGTTGTTGCTCTTCGATGACGTTCGCCAAAGTAAAGAGAATACGCTCCACGTATTCTTCGACGGTGCCTTCAGACTCAAATCCGGGATTGAAGAAAGGTGATTGAATGATGTCGACTTCTTCTTGAGAATCATAAACGAATCCGTTATCAACTTCCGGATCTGCCATCCATGAGCTTAAAAAATATCCTTGTGGTTCTTGGTGGAGTCGCCGGTAGGAAGAGGTGGAGAGGAAGGTTGAGAGAGAGAAGTTGGCGGGTAGGAGGAGAAGATAGAGGGAAGTTGGCCACGGAGGAGAAGGTGTGGAGGTAAGTTAGGTCTAGGAAGGTGGGAGAGGAGAAAGAACAAAATCTGAAATTTCTCTCAGATTTTGTTTAATTGGGTGTTAGGGAATTTCAAAATTTGAAATTCGAAATTGGGAAGGATTAGGAGGGAAGTAGGGTTGAGATCTTAATTAATTGTATCTTTAATGAGATACCAATTAATGAAGATTGGTGAGGTGGAGAAAATATTTTGGGGAAAAAAGAAAATTTAATTTTTAATTTCAGATTTTGAATTGGAGGGAGGGAGCATTAATGGAAATTTGAATTGGATTGGAGAGAGAAATCTTGAGGGAGAGGTGGGGGGGGGGGGGGGAGGGGGGGGGGGGGGGGGGGGAGCGGCCATGTAGAGATGGGAGAGAGGGAGTTTATGTTAAATATGTGGGCCCCAAGGAAATTAATGTGATTATAATTAAATCTGATTTTAATTTCAAATTTGATTTAAATTGAAATAACTTCCAAATGGGGGTTAGCTCTCTTGGAAGGGGTTTTAAAATTAAAAAAAGATTGATTGCCAATAAGGATTCTTTCCTAAATAGCATGGAGGTGATTTAGGAAAGTAATTATGACAAAATTTGAAATTTAAATTTGGTGGTTGGGGAATATGGGCCGGCAGGTTAAGCATGAGGAGGGGGAGAGGGGAGGGCCGGCCGACAGCTGGACTGGTGGCCGGAGACTTGAGCGGCCAAGGGAAGGGTCGGCGGGTTGGGTATGGGCTGTTTTGGAGAGGAGAAGAGGGTGAATATGGTGATGCCGGCGGGGTGAGCAAGAGAAGGGGGTGGGTATGGAGGGGGAGGGAAGAACCGAGGAACCGCGAACCTTGGAATCCACCAAGATTGACGGGTATTGCAATCACCCACTTAGGATTGCTCTTCTCAAGAACTCACCAAGAGATCATGTAAGAAAGGGGAAATTTTCATTCATAAGCATCATTAGAAAATAATACAAAGACTAAACCTTCATATATATGGCTCAAAAGCACAAAAAGTAAAAGACCCAAATGCCCTCATGCTATAACATGAGACAAAATCCCTCATAGGGGTACAAGTGGAAAACTGAAAAAATAAATGATAATGTTCCTGCCTGTGGAAATTCCAGTGAACTTTATTTCTGTCGCATTTCAAACATTCTGCACCAAGTCGTCACAGCTGCCAAATTCTGCAATAGAAATATTCTTTTATACAATAAAAAATGGATATACTAATCTCTTAATTATATTCCTTTTACCGTTATAATTTGAATTTTGTTTATTTGGAGATCCTCCTAATTTCCTGCAAGTTTTCTTTATACGTGACTTTGTTTCAAATGCTAGCCTCACAGTTGTTCCAAGAGCGCATCAGGTTCTAACTGGGTTTAAGGTTTCTCTTTTTACCTAGTTTTTCTTTTTGTAGGTCGATCTTTGTTTTGATCAACTTCTTTATAAGCTTAATGAGATTATTTTCTCGTATTACAAAAGTCGTGCTGCAAGGTAAGTAGTGCTAAGTAGTTGTGCCATTATTTTCCCTATTTGTTTGATTGGCATATGTTGAACTTGGTCTGCTACTCTTTTGCAGTGATTTACTTGATCAATCATTTATAGCTTCTTGTAATGACGACAACAAATATTTTGTGAAGCCAATGCGGTTTAATGAAATATTAAAGCTGAGGAGAGTAAAGGTATGGGAATGTTTTTTCAATGGAAAATCAACGAAAATTTCATCATTTCATATGTCATTATGGTTAACTTGGCCCTGCATTCTATGTAGGACATCAAATTCATTGATTAGTACTAATATTATTCACAGCTTGTTGCATTATCTTTGTCGTCTGGTATTATCTTCGTATCAATGTTTTTGTTTTGGTTGGATGATGCAAGAACGTTCTGTTTTTTGTTTTAATTACTCTGAATGCAGATTCCCAACTTTACTTTACTAAAGAAGCCAGAATAAGATAACTTGTGAGTTTTTTTTTTTTCATATTCTATTTTCTTAAAAGCAATGAAATTGTATAACTAGCTAATAAAAAAGGTACATGATGATGGAGTTATGTAAGATTGTAACCCAAAAAGAAAATAAAATACATCAGATCGAGCTACTTTTAAAGAAAAGAGACTAATGGCATCCTAGACAAGTGGATCATTAGGGGCATCAAAATCGGGTTTCAGATCGGGTTAGATGTAAAAATTGTTATAAAAAAAAGAAAATTTGTTATAAAAATTGGTTTAGATGTAAAAATTATGATAGTTGAGAAAGCTATAAAGCGGCTCGTAAGGAATCTAAGAAAGCTATCTGCGATGCAAAGATTTTAGCTTTTAATGATTTATATAATAGATTAGATACTAAGGAAGGAAAAAGATATATGCATAAGTAAGCCAAACAAAGAGATATGAGTAGTAAGGATTTAGTTCAAGTGATATTTAACAAAGGTAGATAAGATATTTTGCTTAGAAGATGATATTCAACAAAGGTAGATGAGATATTTTGCTAAACTTTTTAATGAGAATGTGAAAATACGGTTGACTTTAGTGACCTTAGCACCCTAAATGAAAAATAAAGATTTATGTTTTTATTGGCGTATTAGTGAAACCGAAGCTAGAGAGGCTTTAAAGAAAATGAAGTGTGGAAAAACTATTGGTCTTGATGATATTCCAATAGAGGTGTGAAAATACTTAGTAGATGAATGAATTTCGTGGCTTAATAAACTTTTTAATGCTATTTTGAAGACTAAAAAGATGCCAGATGAGTGGAGAATGAGCGTATTAATTCCTATTTTTAAGAATAAAGGTGATGCACTAAATTGTGCGAATTATAGAGAAGTTAAGTTAATATGTTATACTTTAAAACTATGGGAGCGAGTTATGGATTGTAGGTTGCGACGTGATATTAGTGTTTCAATTTGGTTTCATGCCGGGGAGTTCTACTATGGAAGCCATACATTTATTGAGAGGTTTGATGGAGAAATATTGAGAGAATAAGGAGGATCTACATATGATATTTATCGATTTAGAGTAAGCATATGATAAGGTTCCAAGAGAAGTGCTATGGAGAGTTCTTTTTATCCTTAATTCATTAGTTATTTGCTCTTCTTAATCTTATTTATTATTTAACATAACAAAAGTTTAATTTATTCATTATTTAATTTAAGATCTCATATATTAATTTAAATATGCTCTCTTATTTCTACATGTATTCTCATTTAAAATATCTATATACATTATAATTAACTAATCTCTTATTTCTACTTTAATAATTTCCAATTTAATTTGTGATAATTTCTGAAAAAAAATGTAAAATTACAATTTCCATTTACTCTTTTCCTCTCAATTAAAATTTTAATATCAATTTAAAATAATTAATTTTTTTTCTAATATATATTTAGAAAGAACTTAAATACTTTTTCTCAGTTACTGCTCGATTCTAGATTAAACGCTATTGCCTTTGCAATCAAGTTAAATATAATAAAAATTATATAAATAAGTTTAATTTAAAATTTATTTTTTCTTTAATATGGTAAAAAGTATCTTAATAAATCATCACTTTAATTGATAATTAAATTCCCAAAAATTTAAACATTATGCCTATTTTTAGGATAATACTTACCTTGCTCAATAGTAAAAAGAAGAATTTGATTGTGATACTGTGCCAAACACTCGAAGTTGAATATTGGGGAGTGATACTTTTGCCTGAGCTGATGACTATGTCGAATGTTGATCCCTTATTCCCTTTTTTAAGCATATGAAATTTGGGCTTGCTAATTTTACGTAACATTTGGTAGATTCAGTCTTCCATTATATGTATTATCTTGTTTAACCTGTCTAATAATTGGCTAAATTTTATTTGCACTTCAGTTACTTGGAAGGAGTATTGATTTAAGAAGTTTGCTCACACAAAGGTTGAATAAATTAATCCGGGAGAACATTGATTTTCTCTTTGATCGATTTGAGGGCCTGGATTTATGTGCCGTTGTGGTAGGAAATTTACCAAAAAAAAAAAAAATACTTTAATTTAGTTCACTTTAGCTGTTAAGTTTTTTTTTTGAAATTTGCAGGAGTTACAACAGCATCTGGAAATTCTGAAGCACTCCCATAATTTACTGTCAAAAGATCTTGAACTAGATTCATTCAGTCTGATGCTCAATGAAATGCAAGAGAATCTCTCGCTTATTTCATATTCAAGTCGTCTTGCCTCTCAGGTCTGATTCTTAATTGTTATTTTAAATTCTTTTTTTAAATTCTTTTTTATTCTATCAATGGGAATGAAGTACGATAAAATTGGATTGATCCTTCTCTTCTGTATGCAAATTGCAAGGTACACAATGGTCAACTTTCTGTTCTGCGTGTACTTATTTACTATTTTATGGAACTCAAATTTGACCTTTAGTTCATGTTAAATTTATGCATTTTTTATTTCGACAGTCTATATATCAATAAATTATTTTCATGATTATTGATTTTGTGAGTGAATTTAGGTTAATGTAGTAGAATTTACGATAGATTGATATCTTATATATTAAGTGTTACAGATAGTTATAAGAGAAACAAGAATAGGAATTTAATTAGATGTTTTTCTCTTGGATGTTTGCGAAGTATTTTTTGCTAAATTTTCCCTTTGGGATTGTGTAAACTTTAATCTCAAAAAATTTTTAATAACTTAACCAGGACTTCATGAACAAAATCATAAGTACAACTTTTCCCTGCAGCACCGAAGTTGAAATTCAACTCTGCTAAAAGAAAAAGTTTACATTTGGTATGTGTTGTTTAAAATGAAATTGCCCTTCCAATGCCATTGGGATTCATTTGGAAGAGAAAATGAAATGGACCCGTAAAAATAATGGTATTCACTTTTTTAAAATAACTAGTAAAAGTAAACTTTTTCCCTGATTATGTAAAGGCGCCAAACATTATTCAATGATAAGAGTGTATCATGGAAATTACTATTTTTTTTCCATGACTGAAATGGTGTCGTGAGGTTTTAATTTGATTTAGACTGTGTTTCTTGGTAAATCGGTTGGGGAGTTTTGGCTTTGGAAAATGAGTCAGGCGTTGCATCCTTCAAGCATATGAACTTTTGAAAGCAGCATTGGCTACATCTGCAAAATGGTTTGTGCTTGATCATAAAAAAAATTGATAGGGTGGTTGAAAATTCTATTGTAGTAAAAACCTTCAAATTCTTTTCCGCAAAGTCTAGCTACAAATTAAGATTCTCCAAATATTAAATTACTAAAATTATCTTGAACATAGAACTACTAAAATGTCCATGAAAAATGGACTAATAACGTAAACAATTAGAAAAATGATCTAATTCCCTGGAAACTAGAAATAGAAATTAGAAAGTTTTCATAAATCTGTTCATCTTAACAATCAACCGATCCTGAAATCTGTATTTATTTGTGATGGGTTGCATCAAATTCATTTGGTGTGATGAATTGTCCCACAGAGTAAAGGTAGTAGTGTTAAATACTAGATGAGGATAGATAAATGTCATTTTGGAGAAGAAAGAAGTCCTCACTTCTCTTTCTTTTGTCTTTTGTTGTTTTCCTTTTTTTTTATAAGTAGAAGGAAAACTTTTGGTGGAAAATGGAGGTTGTTGAGATGTGGGGTTAAAAGTTCTATAAAATAGAGGTACCATTACATCCCATTTATTACACATTAAAGTTGAACTAATTTTTTTGATAATTTATCATTTATATTTCCACTAGGGTAGTCCAGTGATTATATTTCCCTGTTTGGGTCTCACATACTATTAACTTTGCAACTTATGAATTATTGATATTAATCCCATGGTCAACTTTCTACTAAAAAATTAGTAACCTCTTTATGCAATCAAGATTTATCATTTTATATTATTATTATTATTTTTTGTGTGTTGGATGCTATGTAATTTTATTTTATATGGCCCAATGATCGAAAACAACACATGAACATGCCCTTCCACTTGAGTTTTCTTGCTCCTTTTCTCTTGTGGCTGCTCGGTTTCCCTGTTGGTTGCTCGGTTTCCCTGCTGGTTGCTCGGTTTTCCCTACTGCTACTCGGTTTTCCTTGTGGTTGCTCTATTTTTCTGCTGCTGGCTGCTCGATTTTCCCTTTGCTGAATCATATGATGGAAGCTTTAATTCCTCATTGAATGAGCTGAGTTGGGTGGTTCATTTATGTGGGCTAATAATTACTTTTTCCTCTTCTTTATAGTGGTTGAGTTTCTTTGTGCTGGAGTTTTTGGACATTGATCATTTTAAAAACTTGAGGGTTTCTTCTTAGCTTGCGAGCTGTCTTCTCCCTAACCATTACTTCTTCCTCTCGGTCTTCTTTTTGTATCTTTCTTCTCTAAACTATTGTGAGTTGTAAGTGGTATTGTGGTCTGTTCTATTGGTATTTGCCGGAGGAGAAAGGTCTTGTGCTAGAACCTAATTCCTGTGGCTGATCGCTAGTTTGTCCTTTACTTTGAGCACCTTCCCTAATTTGTGTTTGCTTGTTAGGTGATCATTCATGGTTGTTCTGAGGGTTTATAGTTTATGTGTTTTGTTATTTGTTCTGTCTTATGCGACTTCCTAACAAATTTTCCATATTAGTTTTCTACTAAGTGTCCATTTTGGTGTTTTTTTATGTGATTTGGAAAGGAAGTATCTTAATTTGCATTCATAATGTTCTCCTACTTGGTTTAAGAACTTAGGTTGCATCACCTCTTGAAGTGGTAATATAACCCATTGGATACAATTTATTTCAGAGTTCTTTTTTTGGTGCATAAATTCTAGATAAGTGTCTTTTGTTTAATTGATCATCTCATGATGTTTTTTAATATGAACTTGAATACTTTATCTTCTGTCCTTTGCATGCACAAACACCTAGACATACATTCACAAGAAATATTAAATTTTTAATTTCAGTTCGGATTCTCTTACACTACATTGAAAAAAATTGAAGGATGACATTGTTTAAACACTGAAGTTATTGATAATTTTTTTCTTGTGATGAAAAATATTTTCTTTTTTCTCTTATTATATCCACTCATGATAAACTGCATGCTTCATTGCTATGGACATCACTGTTTATATCCTTCCTTAAAACCCTCCCTCCCTCTCTCGCTTTCTAGATTTGGACAGAAATGCAGAATGACTTCTTCCCAAACTTCATCCTCTGTAATACTACTCAACGCTTTATTCGCTCGATAAAGGGAGATCGACACGCTTCCCAAAGGGCATCAGTTCCTAGTGGGAAGTCTTACTTTTTCTGTGGTTCTCAGGTATCATACTCATTTAAAATCTAAATTTACTGCCAATTTTATGATGTTCTTAGTATACTATTTTTGCATTGTTAATGTTATTAGGGATGTCTTCCATTTTATTTTTTACTAGTAAAGCATTTTACTATCTATAATTTTTTGGGGTGCAATAGGGCGGTTCTTGAACGATGATATGCTGCCTCCATTATGTTTTAGAGGTAATGAGTTTGAATTATGAAAACATGCTCTTTGTAATGCAAAATTAAGGCAAAATACATCAGTCCTCAGACCCCTCATTGAAGGGAGGTCTCAAGCGGTAGATTTTGTCCATTTGTTTTATGTCAGATATATGGAGGCTAATTGCAAGCTTTTGTTTTAGTTTTGGCAAGCTTAGTGATGTTTATATTCATAGTATGTTATAGAATTGCAGAGGATAATTTTTTTTAAATAATCTCACTTGATGAGGAGAGTGGAAAAATCTTAAAGGTGTTTATTGAAGAATCCCAGATATAAATTTATACTGTTTGTGATTCGGGTTTTGGTTGAATTGAAAGTTTTTTCTACTTTGAGAAAAAAAAAGGATTTGCTTTGCATCTGATGGCTACCAGAAGGTGGAGTTTAAATACATTTCCTCCTTATCCTTCTGACAAAATTTTTGCCACAACTTACAAGAATGTTTAATGGTACAGCCAGAGCTGTGGAAACCTAATAATCATAGCAGTGAGGATCTATTAACTGCTAAAACTTTATCTTTAATGTCATGGTTGTAGTTGCCCAATTGTGAAAGACCAAGCCTGAATTTTAAATCCTAGTGTAACAAGTTTAAAAAACTGAACTTGAAAGTCAAACATCTAGTTCAATGCGCCTCAGAATCAAACCCATTAAACCTCTTTGCTCACAAGCCCAATTGTCCAATTACTTCGTGGATTCAATATGCTTTCGTGTGTTGGCATAAATATGTGCTGGTTTTACAAACCTTTAATTCCAGTTGAAACTCTTGCATGTCTTGAACTCGATTCAAATCTTTCCCAGAACAATGCTCAACATTTGTATCTACAGTCTAGTTGAAAGGACGCAACAAATAAATTATTGATGCTATCAAGAATTTTTGTACTTTTTATTTTATTTGAACAATAGTATATTTTGTTTTCTATTTTATTTTATTTTCTTTGTAGCTATCCAATGATGGGAAAGCATCTAATGATCATGGTAGGTTGTGCATAGGACTTGGTAGACCTTTGATTTGCTGGCATAATTGGTCCTTGGCTGCTGATGGTTCACGGGTTGGCTGTTTTGGAGCACATGGTATTGAGCTTGTTCTTTTAGTTGCTTAAAGCTGGAGTTTAGTAGCTCTTTATTCTCAAAAGGTACCTCATTAAGAAGAACTACTTTTGGAGTGGCCTTGTCCCTTCCCCTTCCCCCCTTCTTCTTGTCTATTGGAAAACCGTGGCTTGTATTTAATGGGGGCTGAATTCGATGCATTAGAATTACTGATTTTTGTGCTTTACCTCTTGGGAGTCCAGCCGGCCTCTGTTTTTCCATGCTGGGGTGTTTTTCCCGTGGCTGTGTTGCTTTGATTTCTCGGCCTGCTTGCTTACCGTGATGTTGGCTCCTTGGTTCCGTGAAATACCTTTGATTCCCATAACTGTTCCTTCAGGATTTATGCTGGGCTGTTTTCCGAAGTGGCATTTGAAATTCTATAAAATGATGCTTGGGATGTTGTGAACATTAACTAAGGTGGCTTTTGACATTCCTTTACTATGCCTATAAATAAGAGAAGATGTTGAGAATGAAGGCAGTTGATATTTGTGAGCATATTTGCTATTAAACCTGCGGGTTTGTTTGGAAATCCTGCGGGCTCTTTCCACCCTTCTTTCTCATCCCCTCCTGAAATCCTGCGGTCTCTTTCCACCCTTCTTCTCGGGCTTCTAACCTCTTCGTCTCTCCGCAAGTACCACTCCATCTGTATCATTCTTCTCAACAGTGAAGCAACTTTAGGGTGTCGTGTTTTGGTTGATTTGGGAGCATTTGGACAATCTTGCAGTGGTGGACCATCGGTTTGCTAGTCTTATGCACTTTTCTTATTTAACCTACAATTCGATGCATGTGAGGAACCCGCTCTGACGGTTGTCTGAGGATAGCGTCTTTTTTAATTTTCTTTATTTCTCCTAATAATTCTTGTTGTGTTTGTTAAGTCTTAGTTGTCTGCTTTTATTTTAATAAAGTTTGTTTTAAGTTCTATCCATTGCGTCAATTTCTTCTTGTGTGTCTACATCAAACTTGGTATCAGAGCAAGTTCGTCTTTTTTTTTGGTTTATAGGAGTCTTTCTCTTTTGTGTCAAAAAAGGCTAATGAACAAGGGATTGGCAACAAGTGATGCAACAATTAAATGATTTGCAACATCAAATTAATACGGTAGCTGAAGCCATTGCTAATCTAAATGTCAATCAAGTTAACGTTAATCCTAGTATAATATCTTCTGGAAGTGAAGAGGAAGAACCTAGAAATCGAAATAGGCGACAAAGAATTGGGATCACGGAATTAAAATCGGCGTTCATAATTTTGAAGGAAAATTACAACCTGAACAATTCATAGAATGGATAGAAAAAATTGATATGTTTTTTGAATAGAAAGAAATTCCGGATAATCGAAAAGTTAAATTTGCAAGTTTGAAACTAACGGGACATGCATTAGCTTGGTGGAAAAAACTTACAAAACAACAGATTAAGAAGAGGCAAAGAAAAAATTCAGACCTGGGATAGAATGAAGGAAAATTTTTACCTTATGATCACTCAAGAACTATTTTTCAGGAGTTTAACAATTTGCGTCAAGGTAATCAAACTGTAGAAGAATACACTGAAAATTTTTACAAATTGCATGCCGGAAATGATTTGGGTGAGTCTGAAGAGAAAACTGTAACGAGATATCTCAATGGACTAAAATGGACAATTCAAGATCAACTCAACTTACATCATGTCGTTAAATTAGATGAAGCTTATCAGATGTCTTTGAAAATTGAAAAGCAACATTTGCGGGAACCAATAAAATCACTGAAACATATAAACGAAGGCAAACGGGTGGAACTAAAATCAATTATGCTATTGCCATACATTGCATTTGTTTTGGAGCAATTTATGTGCTGTTAAAAAACAGAGAAATATTTTTACCTGAGATCTCAATCTTCCTTCCACGCTCATAGTGCCTGCTTTAGCTCCCTCACTATAATAACTGGACTCGGCCGGTTCAATTGAACATGCCTATTGCTATAGCAGAGGCGGAGCCATGAGCAGAATAGAGAACCCAAGCAAGTCACATGCATGCGTGATGCATTCATGTTTTTAGTTTATTTTTGTTTTAATGTATTTTGAACAATGTTAGTTGTGTTTTATGTTTTTTTAAGTTATCCTATGATGGTTGGGCTTCCAATGATCATGGTAGGAAGGTGCTTAGGCATGACAATCCTTGGGTTTGCTTGCTCTTGGGTCCATTTTGTCCTTGGGCTGCTTGCTGTTATCAATTTGGAGTTTTTTGCTGTTTTCGGGTAGACCTTGGATGTTTAGTGATGAGCTCATAAATGTGGATTCCACTTGGTGTTAGATCATAAATGTTTGAGCTGAAGTTTAGCTCAATGATTGGGGAATAAATGCACTTCCTAGCTCATTAATTCAAAAATGTATGCTATTATTACAAGCTCTTTATGTTGGAGTGGACATGTGTCTCTTCCCTTCACTTTGTCTCTTCGGTTTCTATTGGCTGTTGCTGTTCCCGTGGTCCTCCCTCTCGGTTTTCCCCTCCTGGCTGCTTTTCCTGTGAGCTGCTGCCTTGTCTCCTGTGCTGGCTCTTCGGGTCCCTTGCTGGCTGGTTTCCCGTAGCTGCTGGTGGGGTTTTCCGTGTGTTGCTTCCCTGTTTTCTGTGCTAGAATTCCTGCTGGCTGTTGGTGCCTTTTGGCCTTTCAATTCCCCAATTCTTATTGGATTTGGTTGGAGGTGCTATGGTTGTTTATCTTCCTTCTTTTCCTATAAAATAGAGTTGTTTTGGGATGGAATAAGTTGTTGAAAAGATGAGTAGAATCTCTACAAAAACCTGAGGGTTTCTTTTTTGAAAAGCTTGAGAGCTTGTTCCACTCCCCCTTTCCTCCTCTCTAATTCGTCTTGGTTTCTAATCTCTTCTTCTCTACGCAAGTTCCACTCCACACGTATCCTTCTTCTTGAGCTTTGGAAGTTGTATGTTAGTTGAAATTTGGAGACATTTGCCGGAGGAGTTTGGTAAGGACGTTGGACTCATTTGCTATGGTGGACTCTCGGTTTGCAAGTCTAAGTACAATTTTATTATATTTTCCTACTCTCGTTACATGTGAGGAAACCGCTAGAAGGTTATACTGAGGATAGTGTGTTTATGTTCTTCTTTTATTTCGTTTGATTTAGCTTTTGTTTCTTCGAATGTTTGTTTGTTTGTTTGCAAGTTATAATGAATAGAGTTTGGCTTATATTTTGTCCTGGTGTTCTCCAACGTGTCTTTTCTCTCTAGTTTTCTTGAATCAGGTTTGCTATAAGAGCGAGTTAGAATATCCTTAGTTTGAAATCTTTTCTTTTGAGTTCTAAAATGACTAATAATCCGGGAGAATGACAAAATGTAATGCAACAATTAGCGGATTTGCAAAATCAGATGAATGAAATGACTAATACCCTTGCTAATCTTAATGTTAATCAACAACATGTTCAAACATCTGAAAGTGAAGAAGAAATCCCTAGGAACCGAAATAGGAGACAACAAAATTGGGATTTTGGAATTAAAATTGATGTTCATAACTTCGAGGGTAAACTACAACTTGATATGTTTCTCGAATGGCTTGAGAAAATGGATCAATTTTTTGATTGGAAAGAAATTCCTGAAAACAGAAAAGTAAAATTTGCAAGTTTAAAATTAAATGGTCATGTTCTTACATGGTGGAAAAACTTTCAAAATTATAGACTTACACGTGGGAAAGAAAAGATACAAAACTGGGAACGGATGAAAGAAAA